ATAATTGAAAGACATATAATTTTATCAGGATGGCAACAATTGAATAATTTAATAAAAAACGTGTCGTTTTTGTACTGTTCCAGACCACCCAGTTGTACTCTTGTATTTATAATTCATACCAAGAACATAGCAAACCATGATATCGAAAGGATACACACGATTCAAAGATTAGCGTTAGGAAATTATTAGTAAAAAAATCTTTAATTAATTTTAACAGTGTCTTCCCTCTTAGATAAAATAAAGGCATTCTTCTGAATTGAATTAATAAAATCAAACCTAATTATTCATTGAACATGAATTTAAGTTATTCATACTTTTCCGAGGAGGTCTGTAGCGTTCTAAAGCAAATGATCTCGTAAAACATAACTGTATAATCTTTAATTACAATTACACAGGTCTCTATTCAAATACATCGAATTAAAAGTCGAAATTAATTTGAAAATAATCTGAAAGCTTTTTCAATTGTAACATGTTTTGTAATTCATGGGTTTTACATGTCAGGAAAGCCTCGTAAAACACTGAATGTACTCTAACTTAGCAGAAATTATGCATTGCTGGATTTGAAGTCAGTTAAATACCTTTTTGGGACTGATTACATTAAAGTATTGTTAGTTGCATATAGTTTAAACCTCGGTGGGTTTAGACTAATTAACATCATAAAGCGGTGGTATTGTCTGAACACCTTCGAGAACATGGAATGACTTTAACTGATCAATATAGTTCCTGAAACAAACCTTCTGCAAAAAGTGTTGAATAAGTTAATGTAATGTGTTTAATTCTGTCATCTTCTGCAGACCGAGTGTTGAATTCTGTCATCTTCTGCAGATCGAGTAGGCCAAAACCATATATTGTGCAACACGGAGCAGCTGTCTCCTTCAAACGTTTTGTTCAGGGGCAAACAAAATTTGACAGTGGAGCTTCTTGACACTGTCTTAAACACATACACGAATAATGTTTAACAGTTTGTAAATTATGTTTTTATATCAGTAACTCATATCTAATCGAAATAGGCACATATATATCTATTGTTTGTCAATACGAAACATTTCGTGTTAGCTATGTTACACAGCACACTCGTAAATTATATTATAATTTACATTACATATTTCATGTTCATGTAATAAAATAGCTTGACTCAGTATTAATTTGAAATTCACCAGTACCCCTTTATTTAAAAAAGAAATCAAATCATTAATAGAATTTACGTATTTCCTTATCTATTTAAACGCTACTTAAGACCAATTTGGTTTTCCAACTTTTTGGCCCCTAGCATCACCAATGAGTTGTAGAAGGAGGAAATAACTGTATGATGTAATTTAATATATGTCATACTGTTTTATAGGTGCAGTGACGTGTGGGTCTTACGTTCATCCTTCAAACGGAGCCCTCCCGTTAAGTCACCATTTGAGGCGATACACTCCATGAACAACCTTTCTGTTTTGCAACAAACTTAGTTCTTAGTTACAGACTTGCTCACGTTAAGGTTCCTGATTAAGAATATTCATTGTTATTCTTATTAGTTGCAACGATCGTTTGAGCAATAAATAACACAGCCTTTTACCGTCATAAAAGCCATTGCTTTAAGGTTTTCAATATATCTTGATAATCTGGATATATGCTAACAACATAGCTCATTATGCTATGGTATTTTTTGCAACATGCACACTACACAGGTTTTGTACTTATTGTAGCGAAGCTCGATTCTTTATTTCGAATAGATTAAATCTGTTTAGTGAAACATGATTGAAAAAAGGGAACAGACAATCGTGTGTCCCTACTGCAAGGGCATACAACACAGAAATGTTAGGCTTATGCTAACGTTGCTCGTAACTCTGATTTGGCATATTTTGCTTCTTTTTTTTTTTTTAGAAAGGTTCTGCATAGGGGAAGCTCGAGTGTAAGAGAAAGTCACAACGATTTGTTGACCGTCAGGTGGGCAATATGATCCTTTTGGTTTGGTTTGTTTGTGTTTTACATCCTATTAACAGCTATGGTAGTTTAAGGATGTTCCAGGTTTTGGTGGTGGGGGGAAAGCCGGAGTTCCCGGAGAAAAAACACTGACCTACAGACGGTACATGGCGACTGCCCCATGTAGGCCTCGAAGCCGTGGCCAAGTGGTCGAGTGCTAACGGTAGCAGAATGGCTGACACCTTAACCACTTGGCCATCGCGGCCGCCAATAAATATGATCCAATCCGACACGCTGTTTAATAGATGCAGTATAATAAAATTTGTTCGACAATGCTTCAAAGGACTATCTTAAAGTGTTACATTGACGAACTATCTTCATTACGTTTTAGAGGTTGTATCAATTATGATTACTGACGCTCCCGCCATCTTTGCGGTTTTCCAAGCTCTTGCTTAACTGTCAAAATCTCAATCTCCATCTTAAACTGCATCTACAATTGCTGTCAGTGCGTGTAACATATTTCCTCTTCAACATGTTTGCTTGCAACTATCTCCTTCTACGGAGGCAATATGCATCTTCTTTGCCAATTTGCAATTATCATCAAAACCATACCATTGCAAGTTCGTACACTTGTCATCCTAAAGAAATAATTTCCTATCAACAGTATTTCTTTGTACACCTTCAGCTGTGATTTAGTTGCTCCCGTTTGTCAAGCTTACACACTCTCTAAATCAGTAGACGTATTTAAAATTCTTATTGCGAGTCAATAGTCTATGACTGACTTCCCATTTACTTGTAGTGTATTTTTCTTCGTAAACATTAATTGTTCATTTTCATTCAAACTCTCATTTCATCGTTTTTCTCTAAATAGCGATCGAAATGCACCTTGAACACCTGTCTTCTTTCCTGTTTTGCCATATGAACAACATAGTACGCAAATATACTACCAAACCACTTTGTCTGTAGTCGGCTGGACTCTTGTAATATATCTGCAATAGATTGAAGAATATGCGCGCTGTACTATCAGCTGCAATTACTTTTCCTTTTACGTTGGAAACTATTCCCGCTATTATCCAAGTTATTGCGAGTGTCTATTCTATATGTACAATGTACCATATGTAGTCGTATTATTTACTGTCAATATCATCACTAGTCCAAGTCCAAAATGGGTAGCTACCTTGTACAAAAGATCAAGTGCCGAGCCTTTCCACACATAGCTTTCGTCTAGCAACTTGACCTAATCTATCGACCATGTTCTTATTCCGTACATCTACAAGGTCCTATCCTATAAAACAGTTATGTCCCTTTTCTTTCCCTATTTTCAGCAGTGATTACCTTCCTATCTGCGACACCATGCAGTCTCGTCTGGAGCGAACCGGCTTCACTATCTATAGTGCGATGACTACCACCTAACTATTTTCGTGACTAGCGCCCATTCTGGGTCGTCTCCACGATAGCTATCTCCAGTCATCTCATTCCGGCACTGCAGCCTTATCAATCAATTTTTCATGAACAAATAAACAAACGATAACTAAATAACGACTCAAAATAAGCTAATTCCAAATAAATAAATCACAATTAAATGAAACGAAAAAGAATGAATCTGTATCGATCGAACATGTTGGACGATGATGTTTTAAATGAAGCCTGGATCAGATTTGCCCGATAAGTTCGTTTTCTCCCGGAATACACACGGCGGAATGATGTCCTTTCCAACATATTCCCAGGAGAGTGGATGCAGAAACGTTATAGATATTCCACCTACCCGCATGGATCCTACACATTGTATACTGCCATACGTGATGTACTTGAAAACATATATTATTCAGTTCATGTGCAGTAGTATTTAAGTTTGGCGGTGGTATACATGGTATATAATGCTGATAGCTGACTGGTAACTGTATGATGTCATTCTGAGTCTTTCTATAACATCAGCGTGTTTATGGAACCAGGAACTATCGAGAAGTCAAACCAAAAACGGTTAAGAAAGCAAATCCAGGGATCCGGGACTCATGAACACGTTGACTCTGATTGTTGGAATCATTCACAATTCTACCTGTTCGCACATTAGACTGAGGTGTCTGATACAATCACTGTTGTCCTCAACCTTGACAGTAGTGGTTCAGTAATTATGTCCGTGTATTCGTAACTCATATGCAAACCGGATATTGACATTTCTTACATTTACTTTATTATGTTTATGACACCTTTAGTAGAGTGCTTGTGTACGACGTGTTCCCACACCTACATGAAACCTGATAGTTCATAAACCGTACAGAAAAAAACACTCCCCCTTTCAACCTTCCTCCTCCCGTTTGTGAACCATAAAGTAACTGTTTTTCTCTTAAACTCTCGTTCGTTGATGAATTGGAGAATTGTGGTTTCTCTCTCACAACCCATTATGCTCGTTAACCGGGTACCTTTTATTTTACTTTACAATGACATCTGTTTATAAACCTATCTACAAAGCGTTTCTGATAATATGACCTTTTTAGATCCTAGATATCAGACAGTTCTGAATTAATGAACAAGGTTTTCAGCTAAACTGCTTAATGATATAAACCTTTTAACGTGTACACTAGAGATTAAGTTCTTCATCACCGTCCGATGTAACATCGAATCATCTCTTGATACCCCATAAATAGATAATAAATAGTTTACACAATGATATTAACATATGTACTACCTTTAAGTTCATTGTCGGGTACCTGAATTTGTCCAACCCAAGGTATTATTGATCAGACAACTCGTACATGAACAATGTGTTTACAGCTTCGATGATCCGTTAAACAATTGATGTGGATATTTCACGGAGTATGTTGATGCTTAAAATAAATCACATTTATATATGTTGGAAGATCAGTTTTGTTTACACCTGTCTACTTTTGTTTATGCAAAGTAGTCATCTGTGTTAATTAACTAATGATAAAGTATCCATACGCCACTGTAGCTCCTTACTCTGACGTATCTTTTTCTATATCTATCATGAAGCCATTGACTATTTCAAAATATATTTAATGTCAGTAATGAGTTGGAATTATCCATAATTTTCATACACGGTATTAATTTGTACCTTTTTTTTCACTATACAGGTAAAATGTTTGAGAACACTGGTCACGGGAAGATGCATGAGAATTGTCTTCATCGTCATGAATAAGATATACGTTCAACGTATACTCATGAACACTTACGACTGTCAATCGGCATGATCAGGCGATTTCGTAACAATCTTGCTACTTCAAAGCAGTAAATCTCCTGCCTCAGTCCTGGGTCAGAGTTTTTTTTGAAACCATTAGGGAGAGAAACCCTTAATTAAAATATAGTGACAATTTTCACAAATTAGATTAACATCAGTCATGCATGGTCAAATTGATTGGAAAAGTAAATGTGACCTTTTTGTTGATCTTTATTTGAAATATATTAATATGAAAAACTATACAATATCAAAAGAAAAGATTGGATTGTGTTGCAAAAGACAGCAATAGTAACTAAATAGACAACAGCAAATTGGTAAGCAAATATGACACCTCATCCCCCTCCTGAACAGAATAACGAAAGCGATACCTGGCGTTCAAAACAGAGTAAGCGAGAAGTGCACTGCATGTGGTACATTCATATGTTCATTAATTTGCATTATAACATATCCCAAGCAAGCGAACAACGGTATTACTCAACATACTAACATTATAACATATCCCAAGCAAGCGAACAACGGTATTACTCAATATACTAACATTAAAACATATCCCAAGCAAGCGAACAACGGTATTACTCAACTACTAACATTATGACATATCCCAGCAAGCGAACAACGGTATTACTCAATATACTAACATTATGGCATATCCCAAGCAAGCGAACAACTGTATTACTCAACTACTAACATTATGACATATCCCAAGCAAGCGAACAACTGTATTATTCAATACACTAACATTATGGCATACCCCAAGCAAGCGAATAATGGTATTACTCAAAATACTAACATTATAACATATCCCAAGCAAGCGAACAACGGTATTACTCAATATACTAACATTATAACATATCCCAAGCAAGCGAACAACGGTATTACTAGATATACTAAAATTATAACATATCCCAAGCAAGCGAACAACTGTATTACTCAATATACTAACATTATAACATATCCCAAGCAAGCGAACAACGGTATTACTCAATATACTAACATTATGGCATATCTCAAACAAGCGAATAACGGGATTCATTTATAAACATACACTATAATCTACCTACATCAAACAAATAACATCACTAAAGCAAGCGAACAACGGCAATACTTTAACAACATGCATAAACATACCTCAAACAAGCGAACAACGGTAATACTTTATAAACAGTTATTATATCATATCTCAAACAAACGAATGACGGGATTACTTTATAAACACACTCTATCATCTACTCAAGCAAGAGAACAACGGTAATACTTTAAAAACATGCATCAACATACCTCAAATTAATGAATAACGGTATTACTTTATAAACATACGTAATAGCAAAGCTCAAACAAACGAATAGCTATAATACTGTAAAAACTTACATTACAACATAGCTCAAAAGGTGGTTATTTACGTTTTCAAACAATGTTAGACATTCTTTTTCAAAATGAGTGAAACTGTTGAATATCGTGATTATTGGCTATCGTGTAATATATTTAATTTGCTATTTTAGCTCACCACGAAATGAAATTGCCGCAAAATTAGCCATGTAGCAATAAACTACATTTCCTATATTTAAATACTTTCATACACTGAATGTATTTACTTCTATCGTCCACCATTGTTTTCTGTTGTGTTGTCGTTGCAGAATATCACAATGCTAAAAAATGATATGCGTCCAATGACTTTCGATATATGGAACATTATTTTTCCGATAAGTTCAACACATATTCATCAACATTGTTCTTTCTATATCCTGTTTGTAATGTGCCTAATTTTTGGCCATGATCAGAGTTTGCCAAGCTATTTTGATTCCTTGTTAAGCATGCAAAGAAGTAGAGACACTCTGAATCTATTTGCTAAGAGCATGTCGAAATATGGTTGCTGTGGAAGTAATACGTGTAGGTTAGAATTTTCATTTATTTATACGAATGATTTTATTTTCCAATACATCATTCTCTATCTCTTATATGACTACAACTGATAGACAACATGGGGGATATAAAATAAATCCTTCATAAACATTTGTCAGAAACTCAATATAATAAATTCTATAGATCTGTATAACACTGATGCATAAATAACGCTATCGGTATAATGCGTATCAGAACGAGGCAGTGTTTTTCTCTACGAGGTAGATTACTGCCACCTAACTATAAAGGGAGATAAATCGCTATCTCCTTTATTGTGTCAAAATGGTGTAACTTTGTCATTTCGAGGTGATAATTGATTTATCATAAAGATCTGTAGATATATTTAACAATTTCCGCCAAACTTTACGACAGATCGATACCTCTCACTTCCCGATAATCTGTACAATAAAGGACCTCTCAACCAATGCGGCCATTTTGTTGGGAAGATAACGGAGTACATCATCTCTAATGTTTTCCATCTGTGTGGACGGAACACAGCTTAGGCATTATTGAAGAAAGATAGAGTGAACTTTCCCAAGATGAATTAAAACCATTTGGAACTGTTATATAAAGTCAATGAAATCTCACGTTTACCAAGACTATAATGCAAATTACAAGGCAGAATAAATCCACGGTAATGGACCTATGGTGTTAGCTACCTTCAGCAGCAGATGCTCATTATAGTTAGAACAGACTCGGTTGCATTGAGTTGTGCCCAAGGCGCTATATCGAGCAATTTCTTAAAATTCAATTATTATATTTCATATTCTGGAAACTTGAGATTACGCCATTGTTCTGTCATTAAAGTTATTATCTTTGAGAATATGCGGAAAACGTTTTTTACGTAATTGATAAATATTGTATTTTTTCGTTTTAGTCTTCCCTTATCATTCTTTGATGATAAAGCTACGCTAAATACATTAGTTTCTTTTTTATTTAAAAGAATATAATCTTTATGTTATTTGACATTTGGATGTTTTATACAAAACGTTTTCGTTTTTATTTACAAATAAGATCAGTGTTAAATAGAAGAATAATAGTAAAACTGTATAGTTGACTTTTTCTCTATGAAAAAGCAAATTTGCATATGCAAACTGTTTACTTTTAACATCAATATATCGTCACGTTCAAACACTTCTATACATTTACAACCCGAATCAACAGATATAAGGAGGTCAGGTTTATAAGATTACTGTATTATCACCTGTGGACCAGATACTACTGTTTGTGTTTTGTTTTAAGACTTTCAAGACCTGCAGTCAAGGTAAATTGATAAGATCAAATGTGACGCTGTTTGGTCGCGCGTTCACTAAGGGTTGCATTGCACTGTTCGATTCGCTCCCGTAGCTGTCATACATAAGGTAGCCACGTTAATTCAGTCGAGTCTCGACTAGTCTCGACAAAGCCAGCTAAAGTCAAAGGGTTATACAGTCAAGATACGTTGAAAATTGTTTTTGTTTTTATTTCTTTTCAATATTAAATATTCTCCTTTGAGTATGTGATGCCAGTTATGATAACGTGGTATGGGTAAGCTGTGCAGGTGTTGTGGATATGCTCCCTGTCTGAGAGCCCACAACCCTCGTTCACAGAATAGCAAGCTTTAAGGACACCTTGCAATACAAACAGAATTACAATGTAATGGTGTTATTTCATTATTGAATCTAATAAAAACTTTGTATATTTAAAAAAAATAAAACTAATTATACTGAAACGAAAAGTACTGCAAGCACGTTTATTGACACAATCGAATATATATATCTAAACATTTGAGTTTAGAATTCATGAAGCTTCTGAGGTTCGGGGCATTTGATTGCTTGTTGATTTGTTCCGTGTGAACAGTGCCCTACTACCTGTTAAAGGAAGAAATCAAAATTAGTGCATGCACAGTGAAGTATCTTAGTGCATCATGCCATACGTCAGCATCAGTAGTATTTGGGACTGACACACCACTTCTTAACAGTATAAACCCATGTACGGAGACAGCTTGTTTAATAAGAACATAACTACGAATTATTTATTTATCAGTAAGTATAGAACTCAATTTGTATGTTATAGAGATGCAAAGTCGGACCCGGATGTAAACTTACTTAATGGAATATGATATATCACATTACATACAAATAATGCAGCCATCATAATCCTTTCATCAATCATTTTTAATAACATATAAATTAATAAAACACTTGACAAATATTCATTAATGAATCGGTAAACAATCTCAGAACTCTGAATGGCATTAGATTAATTTTCATGTCAGATTTATTCTATGAATGCCATGTTTTTGATTATTATATTTTATGGATACTATGTTTTTAAATACATATATTCTATTTATTTTTGATTCACTGAGTTACAACAATTAGCAACGTTATCAGGAAATGCTGAATATCAGTTTAATATATATTTTAAGATATCTTTTGTTATGAGAGGGGAAATTAAGTAATAAAGATAACAACATCTGAATTTTATTGCTTTTTTAGAATAAACCAATATATCTTACTTCTTTTTCGAATGTAAATTAACATATTTGAAATATACCATAAGATAATAATATAATTATCATTACGTGTAAATAAAAAAGCACAAACACTCCTATATGTTTACATTATCATTAGCAATCAAATATACTTATAACATCATTTGGTTTTAATGCATACTTATGTTTCACATAAAGTATACTAATGTATCAAAATGCATTGTTGCCTCACTGAGACATTGAAGCGGCTGGGACTACTGAAACATGTATGATGCTGTAGTACATGCGTGCATTGTTATAGTGGTGCTTTAATACTTATACTACTTTTACCCGCTTTTATTATACCAATAAACGTAAACTAACGCTTAAGTATGCATCGGTGACCTTAATTATGTTTTTATCAGAAAACTAAACAAAACTGGTATATCCTTGTAAAAAGACGTGTTTTTATATTTCCGTTGTATGATTCATGATTACTCAACAAGTTGAAACGTTTTAATAAATATATAAGAATTTGACGTATTACTAATGATATAAATCACAGCAATTAAACATATTAAAAGAGAATTAATATGTATGTTTAATACAAACAATAATTATCGAAACTTCCAATCCCATTAAGTCATACAATATAATATGCACCTAGATATAATCTGTAGGAATAATTTATCAATTTCATTAAACTA